GCACAGATCATCCTATGGCTTTGGTATTAAGCCCAGCATCCATTAGCTACTCTTCCTTATGCTTTCCCTCCCTCTAGCCTAAACAGGTCTCACTGTGTGTTATTTCCCCCATGTGTCCATGCATTCTCATCATTCAGCTCCCATTTGTAAGTGAGAGCATGCAGTGTTTGGTTTTCTGCTCCTGTGTTAGTTTGCTGAGGATAACGGCTTCCAGCACCATTCATATCCCTGTAAAGGACATGATCTGATTCCTTTTTATGGCTGCATAGTATTCCATGGTGCATATGTGCCACATTTTCTTTATCCAGTCTATCATTGATGGGCATTTGGTTTGATTCCATGTCATTAGTATTGTGAATAATGCTTCAGTGAACATATGAATGCATGTATCTTTATAACAGAATAATTAATATTCCTTTGGTATACCATATAATCCAGCAATTTCATGTCTGAGTATAGACCCAAAAGAACTGAAAATAGAATCTCAAAGAGATAGTTTTACACCCATGTTTATAGCAGCATTATTTACACTAGCTAAAAGTTGGGATGACAGCAGCTAAAGTGTTCACTGATGGATGAATAAACAAAATGTGATATATACATACAATGAGATATTATTGTCTTTAAGAAGGAAGAAAATTCTAACTCATGCCACTGCATAAAGACATTATACTAAGTAATTTAAGCCAGTTACAAAATGACAAATACTATATTATTTTACTTATATGAAGTACCTAAAGTAGCAAGTTAATAGAATAAAAAATGGAATGTTAGTTGCCAGAAGATAGGGAAGATTAAATGGTGAGTGACTGTTTAATGGATACAGACTTTTCATATTTTCCAAGATGAAAAGAGTTCTGAAGATGTATGATGGTGATAGTTATACAACAGTGTGAATGTACTTAATGCCACTGAACTGTACACTTAAAAATAGTTAAGATAGGCCAGGATGAGGCTCGCACCTGTAATCCCAGAACTTTGGGAGGCCAACGCAGGCAGATCACCTCAGGTCGGGAGTTTGAGACCAGTCTGACCAACACGGAGAAACCCTATTTCTACTAAAAACACAAAATTAGCCAGGTGTGGCGGCACATGACTGTAATCCTAGCTACATGTGAGGCTGAGGCAGAAGAATGGCTTGAACCCAAGAGGTAGAGGTTGCAGTGAGCCTAGATCGAGCCATTACACCCCAGCCTGGGCAACACGGGCAAAACTCTGTCTCAAAAAAAAAAAAATGGTTAAGATAGTTATGTGTTTTCTACCCCAATTTAAAGTAAAATAAAAATAAACTAAGTGCTTCTATTGAAGTAAGATCTAGCCAACCAGCAGCTCTGTACTAAAGTACAGTATTTTCAAACTGTTGAACAAGATGTTTTCTAAAACCTCTTTTATATTTTTCAGTTATAATCATAAAATCTGTATTTGACATTCCTGTGGACCTTTTGCTACAGAAAAGCACAATATTTTTTTCTTAGGAAAATTGCTTGACTCACAGAAGGAAAAACGTATCAGTGTGCTCCCCAAGGCATTGTGCAGAGGTTATGTCAGATGTCTTGGAGTCCATTATGCTGTAGTTCTAAGATGTTGTAGGGTAGGAAGAAATAAGTAGTTGTGAGAAGTGGGTCTCTCAAGATAGACTAACATGCTGGCCTTTGTATTTCTTTCTTTCTAGGTTTTCTCCTCAAGTTTGCATTCATTTATACTAACTTACAGAAACATCCCTTCCATCTTTGTCCTTATGACTACAGTAAAACTATGGAAAACAAAGATGAAACTGTAACATTCGTAACATTCTATACTGTACACATAACCTTTAACTTATAGTCATGTTTAACACAAGATACTATATCACTTTAAACAACATCTCTTCCTCTTATTTGTCCCATCAAATCCCTTGGAATTATGTTTTTTTCAAGATTTTGTCATTTATCCTTCCTGTTTTTGATTGCTTAATACATAAGTTAAAACGTTAGGTTGCAAACTAGCCTCAAATCGGCTAAGAGCTTGGGAGAGCTAGTCTGAACACTTTTTATATAAACTCCAAGGAGGTCAAATTTAGAAAAATCTCAGCTGCTGGACTTGGATCCCACTAACCACTGATCATTTATAATTAATATTAATAAATGGCAGATGACACATGTATATTGCTTAACTAAAAATGTGTGTGTAATATTAAATTTTTTTAAGTTACTTTAAGGCCCAAAGGACTTGAATATTTGTGTTGGAATAATGAAAAGAATAAAACTACCAACCTGTGATCTAGTGTCTTCTGACTATAAGTACCTAAAGTTCCAGAGAAAACAGAAGTATTTTTAATTCATCATATTAAACATTGTTTTGCCATGAAACTCTATACTTTTACACTAAAATGCCTGTTTCACAAGCCTGTATTAATCTGGACAATAGGCTAATGAATCATTATAGATATACAGATATAGATATATATACATACATACACTCACACATACACACACCTAGTGTTAATCTCCTAATCTAAAACCCAATTGTTTAATATATACAGTTTTTATAATCAGAAATAAAAAAAATAATATCTAAATGCTGAGTTGCTTTAAATCCTAATGTTCCATAGAGTCCCACTAAATAATATAACAGCTGGCAGGGATTTATTCATCTCTGGACACTAAGAAGTTAGGGCACAGCAGTTCAGTTACCTGGTTATATAATTCTGGGATCCTGTATGATGATTAAAATGGAAATGAGACCTCCAGTTATCGCAAGGGAAGTAAAATGGTTTTCCAGGGAAATTACACTTGCACTCAAAATCACCTTACAAAAAGCCAAAAGACAGAAAACTTTATTTGTTGGGGTTGTATGTCCTTATTCAACCATATTCATTACCATAACCATATTAACATAGATCCTTTCCAATTGGACTGTGATTTAATAATATTATTTGTTTAAATGTTGGCAATTTTACATAATTATCTCATTTAATTCTTTATTCCAGGCATATATGCATTGTTGTTATCAACTGGATTTTAAAGATGAGGAAATTGAGGCTTTGGGTGTGAGTAGTGGATTTCACACTCAAAGACCAGGACTCACACCCAGACCTCATTCTGAGTCCAGTGATATTTCAAGTATTTGAGGCTGAAAAGAGTATGTAACTACCTTAAGAATGCCAGTTAATAAGTTAGTTGGTACTAGAACCTAAATCTTTTGTCAATCTGATCTTTCCATTCTGTCTTTTCAACACTTTTTGCCCCATATTCAAAATGATCATTTATTTCTAATCATCTGCTCTTTTTTAATTATACTTACCACATATGAGGCTTAGCATCAACCATTATTTTATTACGGACATTGTCATTGATGAAAAAATTGAAAACCTCTTTTTACCACCAAATCTGCCTAGTCTTTCCATTTGCAATCATTTTGTTATTCAAAGAGCAAACTTAACTGTAATAAGCAAATTGGTCAGTGATTCCCCCTTTTGCCTGAAATCATACTGATGTTTTAAAGCCAAATAGTTTTCACAAATTGCCATCATTGTACTCAAATGCAGTAAATGGTTAAGTTAGTGCTATCATGTTATCTAAACAAAGATGCTGTCAGTCAATAGAGTCAGTGACCTTCAGGCTGTTAAGCGGTTTATGCAATTTTCACAGGGTTATGTTTAAATATAAACCCCAATAAAGAATATCATTTGGCTTTTTAAAAGATTGTGAAAATTAATACCTCATCCAATTCTATAAAATAACATTGAAAGCACAAAGTAAAATATACTAAAAAATGTATTTCAAAGTTTTGGGTTTTCTACTCAATTTGTGAAGCATATATAGTCTCCTAAATGCTGTGTGAATCATTGGACATGCCAGACATGAAGCAAACTTCCCACCCCAGGAGGCTTCTCAGCCCAAAGCAAGCTGTAAGTGGGTAGAGTTCCAAGAGGAACAAAGTGTGCATGTGCGAGTAAAGCAGATGCAGCATGACTTTTGGTTTGTTCTTTGGGAACACACAACTATATGGAAAAATACATGCTGCTCTCAATTGCTGTAGACATCTGCTGAAGGCATGTGAGGTTTAAACTAGGGAATGGTGCAGAATGTCTCCTAGAATATTGCAGTTTAGCTTCAGAAGCAAGGGGAACTGGCTGTTAACAGAATAAGAGTTTCGTTCTAACATGAAAATTGCATAGCACACTCATTCATGTACGCACACAGAGGATGTTAAGCTGTTTCTTTATAAAATATGGGAGCACTGATTTCCTTTAGCAGTATTATTTGATATCTATTTACAGTTTAGTTGGGCTGTCAAACATCAGTCCATTTCTAATAGCATGTATATTTGTGATACCATGCTCTTGGCAAAGGCTTAAAAATTTAAACAGGCTTTTAAATACTTTTTAGGCATGAAATTGAGCTCGCAAAATCAGCTTGATGGCAAATTAGTCAGGAACACATGGATATGTTTCCTTTAAATCATATACAGATTTTCAGAATTAAGATGTAGTAAAACCTACTAGCAGTCTATTAAGTCTTCTAAGGCGCTTGCAACATAATTAGAGATTTGCAAATTCAAAATTGGCCTAACAGAAAAAGGAACAATTTTGTGTTTGCATTTTAGCATTGCCTGAGTATTTTTATAAATACTTCATTTAGCATAATTTTGAAATGGTGCATATGTTCATGTTTAAAAAATCAGGGTAATAGATACACTAAGAAACTGCTTCTATGCTAACTTTTGTTTTGTTACCATTGTCCTATGGGATGATGAGGACTTTAACTTTTCAGATTGACCTCCCTGCCACCATATTCTCTAAAGCCACTAGAATGGGACTAGTCTTACACTGTTTTCCTCAAAGATTTCAGTATGTGTGTGCTACACAATTATTAATCACATCAATAATAAAATAATTGAAAGTAATTGTATGGCGTCATAGAACTGAAAATAGTCACCAACACATTTTTTTAGAAAGTATTTAGTGGTCTATTTGTTTCTTCTCAGTGATATAAGAGATTTTCATTTGAAGTACCCAGGAAAGTTTTCTTAGGGCAGTTCAAAGGGATGTCTGACAGAAACAGTGTTTAGGTTGATGGAGAAGCTTTCTACCCTTGGGCAGCTTTAAACTAAAACTAACCATGGAATCATATGAGTAAGGAACTCTTAGACTTCTTTTATTTATATCCCTGACTTTAAGCATAGATGCAAGAAAATTTATTTGATTTTAAGACTTCTTAGTGAATAGATTTTCAACCTTACTTCAATGCAAAAAGGGGATTTTCCCCAGCTTATCAAAAGCTTTCAATGCTCATTCTCTTTACATTCAATAATTCATTTGTCTCCTAATGTATACATTTTCCTAAGTTAAAAGTAATTTATTCATTTATATTTTTCCTATATTTGCCTTTTTGTCTGTCATAAGTTTGCCCATTTGTTTTATTTTGGTTATTTGTCTAACTTAGAAAACAGAATTCCTTTATTGGATAGAAAGTCCCAAAGCATATTATTTAGTTTGTGTTTGAGGGAAGAAATTATGCATCTTCCTGAATATTGAAAACCAGTAAGAGTAATGTTGAAAACCAGTAAGTAAAAGCTTTGCTAGTTTCACTAGTTTCAATTACAGAATATGTTTGGAAAACATGCAATTGTGTTACCTTAAGACTGGTTCACCAAATTTTCTAATACCAGTAAATGTAGACACATTATATTGAATAAGGGTATTGTTAGCCAAATTCTAAGATTCATCTTAAATTGTTTTTTTACAAAAATTGTGTATTTATCATTTTAAAAATCACTATTGTTTTAAAACATTTAGAAAGTGACCATCTGAAAATAATATGCCTTTGGATGCTCTGTAATATTAAACAGATCCAGACATAAAGACAAAAGTAAATTCCAGAGTATTTTTGCAGCCATGGAATCACCATAAAAAGGGGCTTTTGACCCCAGTGTTACCTTAACATTGTCTTCAGAATTTCATATTTAATTACGGTAAATTACTCACCAATATAATAAATATAGATTTATGAGATACTTTAATGTTCTTAAAACAAATGAAAACCACCCAAGAGGAGCCTCACCAAACCTGAGTTTGTCCAGATTGCATTGACTAAGATTAAGTAAAAGATCATTCATCTCCAAAGGTCATGCAATTAATCTCAGAGTGGGAGTTAAAGCAATGACTAAGCAGAAAAGGAAGCCAAATACAAGCCTGTAACAAAAGGAGCTGGGGCTCCAACATCAAGAAACTTGTTATTTCCTTTTTATTTTTTGAATAGACCTAAGACACTCATTTTTTACTACTAGCTTCTTTGGGTCCTTAAATTCTGTTTGGTTAGGTCACCTATTTTCCATGACTATTTCTGAGATGGTCAAACAAATACAAAGAATAAGCTTTTTAAAAAACTACAACGGGTTTTAATGCCTAGGAGAAAAACATGTCACTTCATTTTATGTGTCAACAGAAAGTAATTTAGGATGAATTTATAATAATCCAGGGTGTGGACAATGAAAAAGCTCAAGATACACTCTAAGGAAGACATATTCTGCTCCAGGGTTTTTATAACTATTTAAATTGAAATAAAAGTCAAAGTTCATCTTCATTTAACTCAGGTGACACCTGTTGCAAAATATTGAGGAAAATGTTTGGTTATCATTCCTTGAAGCTGAATCTTTATACCTTTGCTTGATAATCTCTACAATTCCCTGTGGCAGCAAATTTTTATTTCTAGTAAACTCTACCTGTTTTTTCCTTCACCTTATTGAGATTCCTAAACCTTATATTTTAAGCCAAGAATAATTTTGAACTTGGTCTGTCCTTATTGCAACGCCTTCCTCTAAGTAGGGTGAATTTTGACCCAAGATTAGCCTGCCTTTGGGGTTTATGATGTGACGTGCCACGGCTGATGGCCCATGAAAGGGACTGCTAAATCTATTGCTCACATCAATATTCCCACTGGATATTTTGCTCATTCCTTGGGAATTTCAAAGAATAACAAATAACCAACAAATCATCAAAAACTATAACATGTTACCCAATTCTTGGGAATAAGCCAGTGAGACTAAAATCTGCTTAAGTATCACAAATGTGAATTCCCAGCATTTCAGGCTTGTAAACTGTATCCAACGCTCACCAATGTCTATTCCATATCTCAGCTGTACAGAAGGGGTACATTCATCTGGTAACTGTCAACAATGAGGTTCCTTCCTTCTTGAACCCAGCTGGCCATACAAGCAGGCAGGAGTTGCATGTTTGACCCTGAGACAGCAGAGGATACTTTGCCCTGCTGGAAAGACAACAGGGATGCAATGTAATCTGGAATCGATTTGAGGTTAGCAACAGATGCTCCACGCCAGTAATAAGCGCTGATCATAAGAGCTTAATTTTGTATGTTATGAGAATTAATCATAAGGTATGAGCATAGTATGTCACAAACTATAGGAATAAATAAGAGCAGAGTGAAATACTAAAATAGTAAAACAAGAATAGAAGTTTTTTAAAAAGGTAAATTGGAGATATTTGTTTACTTTCTTTTTATAGCTTGAGCAAAAGAGTTGGAAGACAAAGGAGAAAAGGACTTGCAAGAAGCCATTTTTTTTTTTTTTTTTTTTAATGAATGTGTTTGTTTTTCCTCAAAAGTCAATTGTAAATTCTCTTCAGGGAAGGGAGTCAGAGAGAGCCAAATAGTGGTCTTGAAGTTTTGTTTGTGTTATTATAGTTTTGTTGTCATTTTTTAAAAAGAGAATGATGAAATAACTTTTGTAACATTAGTATTAGTCTCATAATCAATGAAACACAGTCCTTTTTTGAATCATTCCTGAAATAGAAATGAGCATGAAATGAGCCTGGTATTCATTGAATATTAATAGGTTCACTTAGTTGCATGTCTCTGTGCAGTCTATGAGGGATCCTTTACTAGTTATCTTGAATTTAAATATTGAAATGCTAACTAATTATATTTCACAGTGTAGACAGTTAAATAGTAGATTATACAGTTGGCAAGGGGAAACATTTTACTATTTGTCTGGACAAAAGCTAATGGTTTTACAGACAACTCCTTGACATTCTTTAAGTTCTACACATAAGCTTTTTAGTTACTAAAGTTATAGCAGAATATGTGTCTTGAAGCAGCTTTAACATGAGTCCTGTTTTTTACATAATCATAAAAATAAAAGACAGGTGAAAATGATTAATTTTGGTGCAAAATGGTTTTAGGTATCCCTTCAAAGATTTTCCTAAACTGATTGGGAATCTGGCAAATAAAATATTCCCCATGCTATAAATATGCTCAGTAATAAGTCAAAAGTAGAATATCAATTTCTGTGAATTTTAAAAGAAAAGCATTCTAGGTTAAGGGCCAACATGACATAACATTTATTGTTTTGTATTACATTACATACACACACATGCACACATACAGACACACACACACACACACACACATGTTTTGTGAACTTTTATAAATGGAATCGATATAAATATCTGTATAGATAAAATATTGTTCTAGATCCCAACTACATTTTTTATATTATACTTCAAAAATATGAAAATAGTGCTGAGAAAGAACCATCTGTGTCTTCTCACATATAACTTTTCTTGATTATTTCTAGGAAAGCAGACTAAACATACAGTTCTGACATAATACAGCATCCCATTCTGATTTCTGGTTAGCTCAGAGGGCTTTACCAGCCGAAAAAAGTCTCTGAAAAGGGCAAAACTTTCTGACCTCAGGAGGTTCTGATAGGAAGAACGAAAGCAATGAACACCCAGAGGAGAGAAAACTTGGGAATAAATTCCCCAAAGTTCTGTAACCACAGTGATATGGGTGCATGGAGAAAGGCGTAATTTCATTCTTAAAGAATTTCCCAGTTTTCACATTCTTTCATTTGTCTTAAAGCTGATCTTGCAGATGATATAGTCCAGATGAATTTCTGCTTAATAGGAATTCTTGTTCACAAATTGACAGAAAAATGTACCAACTATATATGTAAAAATAAAGTGGAGACTATCCAAGCATACTATAATGCCTTTCCCATAATTCAGCTAATAATCAAATCATTTTTAGAAAAAGGAAATTTTTGCTTCTTATAAGAATTAGATTGAGAGTAGAGGTATAAACTTGTAATAAAAAATTAGAACGTTGTTTCTTTCTGATGCTCCACTTCCTTTGATTTATTAGTTTGCATCTTATCAGTAAATTCAATTTCTCCAAATTTGCTAGAACAAAGTTTTCAGAAAGGAAATTAAGGCTCTTATGTGCTAATATTCTGTGTAGACAAATTAGATGCTGGTCATAACCAAAATGATCTCATTCAGTTTACCCTAGAACATTTGAGTAGTGGGATGAGGGTCTTTAAAACGGTTTTGGGCATAGGTGAACTGAAATATAAGAAAACCATTACAAAGTTGAGTTTATATTAGGTTTCTGTTGCTGTCATCATTCTGTTGCTGTCATCAAAAACTTAGTGTCCTAAACAACACAAATTTATTATCTTACAAGTCTGTAGGTGAGAAAGCTGACACAAGTTGTACCATGCTAAAATCAAGGCATCAGCAAGGCTGTGTTCCTTTTTGGTGACTCTAGGGGAGAATCCACTTGTCTTTTTCAGGTTTTAGAGGCTGCTCACAATCCTCAGTTCCTGGACCCTTTCTCTAGCTTCAAAGCCTCAAGTGGCAGGTTAAGTTCTTTTCACATAGCATCTCCCTGACACACGTTTGCCTCTTCTTCCACTTTCCACTTTTAAGGAATCATGCAACTCAATGGACCAATCTGGATAATTCCAGATAATCTCTGCATCTCAAGGTCAGCTCATTAGCTAGATGCTAGAAGTGAAAATAACGAAGATAGCAAATATGCACGAGACTCCTTTGGAAGTTCATAATTTCATGGTAGAGTTGGTTGTCAACAAATAAATGCAAAATTGACAGATGTGTCCTTTGGAAATAGAGGTGGTAAATTATTATTGGCTCCTAAAGGCCAAGTAGAATTTTCAGCATAAATAGTATCACAAAAGCAAGAAAGAGCATGATGTGATAAAATTGAAGTGAGCTATGTAGTTTGATTGAAGCAAAGGCAAATTGGGGAAAGAGGTGCTGCTCAATAACATAACCAAGAGTGAGATTTGGAAGGGCCTTCTAAGCCATGCTGAGAACTTTGGGAGTACAGGCACCAGGGAGATTTAAAAACAAACCAAAAACTCATAGGAATAAAAGACAAGCCCTCTGCACTATAAGAAGGTAACCTAACAGCAAAGTGGAAAATACCTGAAAGAAAAAAAAAAAAAAAAAACAGAACAAAACAAAACAAAAAAATAAAACCCTGATATTTGCAAAAATACACTCTAGAGGTAACAGAGGCTTGAACTGAATGAGGATAAAGAAAGAATGATACATTTAAGGGATATGCAAGAAGTAAGGCAGATGGACTTGAGTGGGTTAAGGACTTTCACCAAACAACTTAAAGGAATTAAGTGCTCCTGAGATTTTACCCAAACCAGATTAAGGCTCTTCTATTTTTAAAGGTGGCTTGATTCACTCAGCTGTTTTACAGTTTCCTAGAGACCATTTATTATCACTACTAATTATTTTTCTTTTAGGGATTAAAATTTTAGAATTATTTTCATTTTCAGCTACTTGTATATCATTTGTTTCTCATACCTACCTCAAATAGTGAGAATAGGAGGAATTATTGATTCTATTTTATAAATGAGGCAAATGAAGCACAGAAAGTGCTTTACTTAAGGTCACATTCCTGATGAGTAATTTGGTCAAGTTTAAAATGCGCATTTCCTGATACCAATTTCAGATTTTTAAAATTTAATGCCCCACTTTTTTTAAGCACACATTTTAAAAGATGAGGTCTTGAGAGTTTAAGTAACATCCCCAAAGGATAGACAATGACTAAATAGCTTGGCAGAAAGTCAAAGTCAGATCTTTCTGACTTCAAAGCCCAAGGTCATAGCAGCTATACATTACTGCATCCCTCCTCACCTGCTGGAGAAGATCAGGGGAGAATTCATAGAGAAGTAGCCTTTAAAATGTATCTTGGGCCGGGCGCGGTGGCCTAAGCCTGTAATCCCAGCACTTTGGGAGGCCGAGGCGGGTGAATCACGAGGTCAAGAGATCGAGACCATCCTGGTCAACATGGTGAAACCCTGTCTCTACTAAAAATACAAAAAAAAATAAAAAATAAAAAATAAAATGTATCTTGAAGGATATATATAGGTAAGGGGTGATCCTCAAGATACTTAACAACTAGTACAGTAAAATATACAAATATGGTAGCCCATATATAAATGTGTTAAATATATTAACATACATAGATAATACCACTGCTTACCAGGTGTTGTTAGCAGCAGTGCAAATCATCTATGAGGTTATTCAGTGATGCCTGAAAATAGTTGCTAATTTTTGGAAATCACCTGGTATTGTTTTCTGTTTGTTGGGGTAGATTCACACACCCACGCCTAGACCTATTCATACTCAAAGAGGGCTTCCCCAGAGACATTTTGTGCTTAACTCCTTGAATCCTCTCTAGTTTAAAAGTTTCAACAGTTTTCAGGGTCCAAAAGTCTTCTTGACTAACGGGGCCAAGATGTAAAGGACAGAAAAAAAAAAGGTTCACCTTCCTCTCCTCCCAAATTCTGGCATAACTGATTACTTTTGCTTTCCTTTAGTATTTTCACTTCCCAATATATGTAGTCACTTCCTGACTACTACTCTTTCTCCTAAATATTCTCTGGAGATAAGGGAATGGCTTATATAAGTCACTGATCACATATCTGCTTTTTTTTTTTTGAGACAGAGTCTTGCTTTGTCACCAGGTGCCAGGCTGGAGTGCAGCGGTGCAGTCTTGGCTCACTGTAATCTCTGCCTCCTGGGTTCAAGCAATTCTCCTGCCTCAGCCTCCCGAGTAGCTGGGATTACAGGCGTGCGCCACCACACCCAGCTATTTTTGGTATTTTTTAGTAGAGACGGGGTTTCACCATGCTGGCCAGGATGATCTCGATCTCTTGACCTCGTGATCCACCCACCTCGGCCTCCCAAAGTGCTGGGATTATAGGCGTGAGCCACCGCGCCCAGCCACATATTCACTTTTCTACTTTAGTCCATTTTGGTGTTGCTGTAACAGAATACCTAAGGCTGCGTAATTCACTCAAAAAAAAAAGAGGTATATTTGGCTAACAGTTCTGCAGGCTGTACAAGAAGCATAGCATCAGCATCTGATTCTGGTGAGGGCCTCAGGGGAACTCACATGTGCAGATCATATGACTGGAGAAGAAAAGACAGCGTGTGTGTGAGAGAGCAGAGAGAGAGAGAGAAGGTGCCAGGCTCTTTTTAACAAGCAGCTCTCTGGGGAACTCTGTAGGAACTAATACAGAGTGAGAACTCACTCATTTACTGTGAGAATAGCACCAAGTCATTCATGATGGACCCACTTTCATGACTCCCAAGCACCTCCCATTTGGCCCCACCCCAAACATTTGGGCTCAAATTTCAATATTAAGTTTGCCGGGTCAAATATCTAAACGTTAGCATTACCCTA